GATACTCTGGGACTAACCTGAAAATGACTGACAAGCCAATTACGCCTGCCAAATAGCGATTACCGATTTACCTCTGGCTTGTGAATAAGACTTGAGCCGGAGTGTCCTTTGGCAGATGAAATGCCAAAGGCCCGGACACTTTGTTGATGTCTGCCTGCCATCAAGTACAATTAAAAATTAATACACAAACTTGTGCCGCAGGGGCTTTAATGTCATTTAACTTGCAACCGATTCCAGGCACTATACTATCTGCCATAAACCTGTTGTTGTTATTATGACCGGGATGATGTGGTTCCTTGTTGTTATTGTTTTTGTTTTTTCTCCATCCAGTCCTGTGGGGCTAATGATGTGAATTGTTTGCCGAATGCCGCCTGCAATCACAAATGGCAAATATATTCAGACCCTTTCCGAGGCTCCTCGCCTGCCCAGTCCTCCCAAAATCAACATAATTTAAATGCAAAAACAATTTGTTTAACCCCCCCCTTTCCGGATAAATCAAATATACACGTGAGTGTTTTTTTTTATATTTTTCTATATTTCAGTTTTTTTGTTGATTTTTTATTTTTTGCTTTGTTCACAGAAATTCTCATCAAAATATCAAGTTACGTACAATAATAGTTGTCATACGTTGAAAAATGCCTTCGGTTTATACTTATACAAGAATAAAAATAACGTTTTTCTAATGTTGATGGATCTGGTTCTTCCGTTTCCGTTTATTCACTTTTAGCTGTTATTATTAGCTTCATTCTGCCGCTGTTATTCTGTTTGTATAATAAACTAAATCTAAGTACAAGAAATGTCCTTTTTTTTGGCCATTTTGCCCAATTGTTTCTGCTATATTTTTTCGTTTCTCATTCTTACTCATTTATAATATTATTTTTGGATTTTTTTTTGGATTTTTCTATACTTTCATTATAATTGGGTTTCCCTTATAAAATTATTTCCAAATGGAGATGCACAAAAGCCGCAACAAACAAGCCATAATAATAATTAATAATGTTTAATGATCAATAATTTTTTTGTTGGTTTTCCATTTTGCATTTTGCTTTTGCTATAATTATATAATCTATGCGGTTAAGGGGGCGCGGGGCGAGGCTGAAAATATGCTAATTGAATTAAATTCTATTAATAATTCTCGCAGTTAATCAACTAATAATTTATGCAAACATTTCAAGTCAGCTGCAAAATGTTTCGAAATTATTTCTCGCATTCAGTTATTTATCTCTATTTGATTTAGTTTTTAATTGTTTGGTTGATTTGCGAAGCACTAGAACCAATAATGTTATTTAAAAAATAAATCAACTGTCAAGGTAAGGACATGGAAAACAGGGGGACAGGTGGACAGGTGTTTAGGGTTCGGGGAAAGGGAAAGGGATGCTTGCTTTGCGAACTTAGCACACATCGAATGCACATCAATAATAGTAATTAAACACTGACAATTAGATTTTTTGCTATTTGCTATTAGCTAAGAATTTTTTTCTGTTTGCACAAGCATTAAATACAATTATTACTTTCTTTTTTTGTTTGCTTTTATATTTCACTTAACTCTAAAATGTATTTTTTGTTTGGGTTTTTTTGTCCTGTGCCGAAACTTGTGAATTTTCCATTTTATACGTTTTTTTTCGTTTTACTTATCTTTTGATATCAATTACACTGCCTTACGATTACAATTATAAATATGAATGCATTTCTGGGATTGCGATCATTTACAGAAATGAGGAAGTAGCTAAATCAAGTTATATCGTAAAAATTCTAAGTAATCACCACTTGCTGCCATCCCGCCCGACAAAATATTCCCCTCGAAGCTGGGAATCTAGCCCCCGAATTAGACTCTGCTAACACTATATATCCTCTATATCCTTCATCGGCCTTATTCCATCACCTTTCTTGCTTTTTTTTAGTAACCGTTCGTGCGTCTGTAGCTAAAATAAAATGCAAAATGCAATTCTTTAGTTGTAATTTATAATGCTGTGCCTTAATTTGTAGATGCTTTGCATAATCCTCCTCCAAAAACTGACATTCTTCGCGCCCGCCTCCTTATGACAGATACACATAAATTTAATTCACATACACACTGTTACACACACAACTGCCACGTAAATAGGTTCGCCATACGTTTAAGTGTACTCTTCCTTAGATACATATCCTTGTGTACATATTTAATTATATATACGCGTTTTCCTTTTTAAATGTAGTTTACTTTTGAGTTCATTTAACATTAAACTAATTCATTTCACTAAACTATACACAAAATGTTTTACGAGTTATGCCCTTATTTGTCTACATAAAACGGTTCACTCCACTCCACTCCACACATCCTTAACCCCTCGCACCCATCCCTATTCCCCTTATCCTTTTCCCCTTTTGTGTGAATGTGTGCCTCTATATCCTTTTTGCTTCTCTCGTACATTTCTGCTATACTAAGCTTGGCCCTCCGCCATTTAGTCTATCCTTAAACTAAACGCTTATGATAGAGAGGGGTGCTGCGACAGGGACTGGAACTGGGGGGTCTGGGCTGGTGGGGGCTAGGAAAATTGCTAAGCACATTTGCAAACGAAACTCTAAACGAAATTAAAATGTATTTACTCTAGTTTTAGTATACTTTATTTATTTTTATGTGTGCCTGCCTTCTGCCAAACATTTTCCTGCCCTGTGACTTCTGACTTCCGGCTTTCTGGGATCCAACATTGCCGGCTCTCTAGCCGTAAATCTGTAGAAAATGCTTATAGATTTTCCTTCTCCGGCCTGTTCGGTCTGCCCGGCCTGGCTGGTTGACTTCTTCACAAGGCAAGAGCTGACCCAAGGGAACTAGATAGCTAGCTAGCTTAGTGGCTTTGTAAAATGTTCAAGTGTAGACACTAAAATATATCCGTAGTTGCCCCGGTTAGTACTCTCTAGACTCACATTCAGCGTTACTTAAAATTCGTACTTCATTAACTTTAATTGCGGGATCGCGGCATTGCCTTCCCTCTTACGTATGCTTAGTGTTTTAATTTTCATTACATGCCGAATCTGATCGAGTGGTACTGTACTACTCTATTCCAATCTGTCTCTCATACACCTACAAACTGGAGTACAATATTTATGATTTTGTTTTTTTTCGAAAACCCATATATACATATACTTTTTAATATATATATATATATTTACTTTTTCTATTTTGCAATTGTTGCATAAACGCGGAACACCTCGTTGACCAGTCTTTCATTTTTGTTTTACCTTTTTACACAATAATTTTGTTAAATTTTTTTTTTTCATTTTTTAAAATACACTTTTTTTGTTGTAAAATACATATATATATATTTTTTTTGTTTTATATCCATATCCATAGTTACGCTCACTCTGCGCTCGTGACTATCCAATGTTCTGTATTAGGATCTAAATATTTTTACTCGTTCGGTTTTTAGTTTAAAGATTTTCTATACAAAATATTCCTTACTTTTTGGGTTTACTCTTAATCGTTTTGCATTTTTAGGGTTTGGTTTAATTCTTTCTCAAAAGTTAGACTAAACTGATTGAAGCATTTTTGACACATCGTAGACGTTTTGGATTTTTCACGTTTTTCATTAAGTATTGTTCAGTGCAATTGTTCGCTTGGAAGCCAAACGGGATATTGGAACTGGAACTGGATTTTCCATTTTGTGGCGCTCGGAATTGGATGATATATCGCTATATACAAATACGATAACATTCAAATGACACAAAGCACAAGCAACACACACGTACGTACACTTGATATCGACATCGATTACAATACGAAATCACCAACATTTTTAATCCATCGACAATCAATGAGAATAAAGCTAGAAAAAGGAGACAAACTGGATTCTTATTTACATAAACATCTATACATATACATATCAAGAGTTTAGCTAAATTCATTTTTTGCTCCTTCCTTCTTTTTATACTTGTTTTTTTTTTTTTGTTTTTTATTCAAAAGCAATCTGAAGAGAATTTCAATTCCCTACATATGCAAATTTTTTTTCGCTTTTCCGTGCATGTGTGCTGCAGTTGATTAGTCGCTTTTTGGTATTTGGTTTTTAGGTTTCTTTTTTCATTTATTTTCTTTGCCTTAGCTATTTTGTTGTTGTTGTTCTCTGGATCACAGAATTTCTCATCACACAAACCATAATGATTGACCGAAATGCACATCTATAAATGTGCATTCTGCTATCGATCAACGTTGTATACTTTGATGTCGCGTCTTATTTGCTGAGGGGTGCTGTTCGAAAAATCGAAAATAAAATAGGCCCATGGAAATATTTGCTTTTCACATATTTTTCCTTTATTTAAAAATAATTAAAAATTAAACAAATCATTATAAACAAAAATGAGGAAATGATACATTACATAAATATAATAGAAATCAGCACGCAATTACAATAAATGAAACAAAACTTGATTGATTAGCATGAAATAATTTTCTTAGCTACAAGGAATTGCTTTGATTGATTTGAATTGATTTGATTTAAAATTAAAATTAATGAGGCACATAAAGAAGAATTTGTGTGTTAAGTGAAAGAAAAATATAATTTTGCGATCGAAAATGATAATTTTTTGATTAAATTAAACGTACGTATCGAAATGGGTTCGTAATACTTTTCATCACTTAGATAATGCATAAGAAAGAGTTTAAATTTTTATTAAATAATTATGTATATGCATTAAAAACATAGCAACAAAATTGCTCTTTCATTAAACACCGAATATCAAAAAAAATTTCATTTAAATTTTGATTAATTTTATTATTAATTAATTTGAATGGTGCGGTGAACTGATACTCAGACCTAATCAACATTTAAATTACATTTAAAATTAATTTAAGAAAATAAGCATTTTCAACGATTTTTATGTTTTGTTTAAAACATATTTTGCACTTTAACATCATTTCGTGTTTTATTACTATTTTCATTTTGCTGACGTATGAACCTAATTATTTTTATTATTATTTTACAATTAAATATATATTTTTTCTAGTTTTTTTTTTTTTGTTTTTTCTCATTTTTTTTTTTATTTTTGTTTTGGCAGTGTTCACATTATGAAAACAAAAATATGTTTTTATCCTTTTTTTTGTATTACTAGGTATATTTTTAGGATTTCTGCTTGTGGGTGCTGTTTTTATGTTGCTGCTTCACTAATTAAAGAAATCTGCTTAGCTTTGGTAAATTGTACACAATTTTTGTAGTTTGTTCAGAACTTGCGGCTAAATGCTACGTACATAGGTGTGATTTGGGGGAAAATGCAATGAAGCTATTGGTATCTATAGCTTTAACTTACACCTAACAAGGCATTGAAACAAATCGGATTTGCAATTGAAACGATAACGACGATAACCATAACGAAAACAATAACGGCGACGATAATGGCAACACAAATGTCAATCAGAATCAGAGAACTTGAATTATCATCTTTGTGCTTGCTTGTGTTGTTGTGATGTTTTCCTTTTCCTTAAATTGGTTTTTAGTTTTTAGTTTTTGTGTGTTTGAATTCCCCCGTCCAAACTTGGCGAATTTTAGTGGTTTTGATTAGCGTTACGCAAGTTTTTCATCGTTCCTTGATGGCACACAGTTTCCGCTGAACTCCTTCGTCACCTTATCGACCTGCTTTTCTTAAATCTCGCCTCACATGTGACGCTTCATGTGGAGCGCCAGGTGATCGGACCGGGAGAAGCAGCGATCGCAGTTGCGGCACTTAAAGGGCTTGGCGCCGGTGTGTTTGCGGTAGTGGCGGGTCAACTCGTCGCTTCGCGCGAATCGCCACTCGCATCCCTCCCAGGAGCACTTGTACGGCTTCTCACCTGTAATGGCAGAAAATAAAAACTCTTATTAAATAAGTTGCAACTATGAAAAAGTAGCCACAAGTGCACAGTAAGAAAAATCAGTCTATTTAATATTTCACTGAATTAAATCCCTTTAAAAATAGGGTTCTTAATAAAAAATTAAGTATACGCCCCATACAACAATCAAGAAATTTAAAAGGCCCCACAAATTACGTATACGACCTGTGGAGCAGACTATGGTTAAAACCTTTTTTGGAGCTTAAAAAATAATTTACTAAGCTTCATACAATATCACGCATACGACCTGTAGGACTTAGGGCTTCTTTTCCGGAAGGCCCAAAAAAGTATGCTACAATTTTTGAAAACTGACAAAATTCAAATGAATTCCATATTTTTGCTCTCTGCAGACTCTACCGCAGTGGAAAGTTGCAGCAATTGCTCCGCCAGCTACTCCGGTGGTGCAGCACAAACAATATAGCGCATAAATATGCGTGCTCAAGGGAAAGGACTAGGGGGTGTGGAGAGGGAAATTTTTTATTTAGCACGCGCCTGCCAAATGAAAAAACTTTTTCGACGCTGGCACTCCGATGGCTGGAAAAACGGAACGGAACGGAACGGAAAAACGAGAAATATGCATAAAGTAAAACACAGAGTAAACAGTGGGAGCGAAAACGGGGTAAAGCGGGATATAAACGGGGTAAAACGAGCTGCTGGGCCAACAAACGCACAAACAGCGAGGAATTTAAGACAATTAAAAATGAAAAACTGTAAAATTAAAACCGAAAACGGAATGATGCTAACGGCGCTGTCGACGCCAAAGCCAGCGCCATCGCCAGCGCCGATGCTGACGTCAACGGTGTGGCAAGCGCCAAGCGGCAAGCGCGGTCCTTTGCCAACATTTTTCATGCGTGCCAAAAGCCTCAAAGGATACAAGCGGAGTAGCGCCAAAAGCCAACCAGAGAACCAGACCAGGAACCAGGATCCAGGAACAGAGCCAGAAACAGAAACAGAGCCATGGCGAAAACCAGCCAGCCGAAAGGAAAAGGAAATGCAGAAGTTGTAATTTCACACAAAGCAACAAACAACAAAAAAAAAATGGAGAAAAAAAAAAAGAAATGGGAACCTAAAAATACCAGAAAGTGTGCGAGAGTGCAAGTGCGAGTGAACCGGCAAGATTAAGAGAAAAAAGGACATGAATAGAGCAGAGTGTAAAGCCGGGTAATGCCAGGACACACTGAAAAAATACAGCCCATACCCAGATCCAGAAATGGAGAAAAAATAAAAATGGGAAAATTATTTCAGTTTAAAAGACAAACAGCAGCCGAGGCAGGAAATTGCCGCCGTTGCCTCCTGTTTCTCTTCCCATCTCTTTCTGTTACTCGTTCTGTCTCGCTCGGAAAAATGAAAAAAATGGAGCGAGATAACCGGCAAGTAGACGACGACAGCCAAGAAAAATGCATAAAGCTGAGTGGAAAACTTTGTAACGCACAGGCCACATACACATACATACATATAACGGTATATACTTGGCTTAAAACTTAATGCATGCGGAAATGTGTGATATTTCCGTGCTCAATTTCACATTATGCACTTGCGGTTTTCCTCCCATTTTCCGCGCCTTCCTTTTTATTCGCCATTCTCGATTCTGGCCCGAAAAGCTTTACCCTTTCCGTTGACCGGAGCTTGGACTTGCCGGCTGTCTTAATTTCCATTTGTTTACACTTGGCCATAGCTCAAGAGTTGGTAAGAGAGTATTGGTTGGATTTTGTTGGCAACTGTTGGCTGTGCGTGTGTGCGGGTGACTGCCACTTGCACTTTGGCATGTTGTCAGAACTGTTTGCGAATCGATGCATTGGCAATAAATAAACGAATTCACAAACACACACAAACACATCGTTAACGTTGCTTGTCTTTGGCACTCTTTGCCTATCTCTCCACCACCCTCCTCTATTTTTCCAACTCTTTCTTTTGGCCAGCTTTCTCCTGCAGGCTCTCCGGCTGTGTAAATCAGCGTCAAATGCACAAAGTGCAAGCCCACAGATCTAGAATGCGACCCCCAAGAGTCTCGTATTGAAGTGCATTTAAGCCCAAAAAGCAAAAGAGCAGGCAGGCAGGCAGTCAGTCAGTGGGGGGTGGAGCGCCAGGAGCGCCAGAAGCGGCAGGAAAGCTGCGATAAAGCAGCCAAAATGGCCGTGTTATCTGGCCATTGAAGGGCTCTGGCAAAATGAAATGAAACCAAAAACGAAATGAAACCGAAACGAGGCAACTACCAGGATATGAAGGATATTAAGTAATTGGATACCCTTTAAATACGGGAATATCCTTTCAAATAAAAAGGGATATTTTATCATTAATTGTTATGCTTATCATTAATTTCACTTAGAATGCTTAAAAATAAAGTCCATGCTAGGATAAGGATAAGGACTAGGAGGAGTTAGCCTTAAATCCTTTTTCCTTTCAGTGCAGTGGGCTGGCTTTTAATTAGTTTTCATGGCAAGCCATTTGAGCTGACATTGTTAGCCGGGATGGATAGCAGACCTGGCCAAAAAGCCAGCCAATTGGCAACTGGGTTAAGCGATTTTCGCCTGCTTTTATTTCCCCTCCAATCGCGACGAGACGTCGCCATGTTAATTTATTGAGCCGAACGCAGTTAAAACTTAACCTCGGCCGTTTGTCTGTATATACATTGATAGTTTCAGCTCCTCCGATTCCCAATCCGATTCCGATTCCGGAGTAGCCAGTGGCGGTGTCGGTGGCAATGGTAGTGGCAGGCCATAAAGCTTGCACTTGTAAATTGTTTAAAGGCAATAAGGAGGCGGCCACGAAGGAAGATCCGCTGGAAGAGAGAGAGAGTTGCAACCAGAAGGAGCCGCAGCAGCAGGAGCTTGCTACTGGAGCCAGTTAATATTTTATAAATTTCACTTGGCGCTGGGTTTTAATTTTAGCCGGCAATAGAAAAGAATGCACCAGCGGGACATGCAATGGACGAGGAGGGGGGGACATATCTCCTTTTGCTCCTTGGCTTTCCTTTTTATGGAGCTGCTCGATGGCAATGCCTTCTCGGCTTTTGCACTCAACACAATTTTTATGGTCTGTTTGCGTCTTTTCACTTGATTGCACTTGTAATCTTTTCTTAACGTTCTCAGCGTCTCAGCTTTTTCCTACTTACTCCCACGTCCCTAGTCCCATACTTTCTTTTCGTAAATCCAGAATCCCGGTTGCATGCCACTCTGGCATTTTTATAGCCGCCTGCGTTTAACTAATTGAAATCGTTTTGTGGCAAAAAGTTGGCGTGGAGGATTTTATTTCCAAGCAAACGTCACTTTAATTGATATTCAATTGCACCTATCTATAAACATATATCTTTTCAAAGTGTTCGATTTATATATGGCTGGCTGGCTGGGAGATGGGATATGGGAGCTGGGAGCTGTGTTCTTCGAATGTGCTTCAATGGCTTTCTAATTAAATGGCACCCGGGAAAATGCAAATGGAAATGGTCGAAAGCCACAGGAGGAAACGCAGGAAGTGCGCCCGAAAACCCAAATCAAATTAATTTCACTGTCTGATCCTCCTCCACACCCATACTGTCCTACTATCCCCATGCCAAGGACACTGTTTGGCAACTAAATAATAGCTCGTCATCAATTATTCGCATGCGTCCGCTTTCAAATGCGACAACATTTAAAGAATCCTCATTCTAGTTGGCGAGCTTGGCTCTAATGAAATTTTCCCCTGCGCTTCATTTGGCATGCAAAAAACGTAATTCATTAGGTTTTCTTTAATTTAAAAACCTCGCCTGGTCTCTATGGTATCATTAAAATAATTACGTTTTCCTTTTTCGCCCAGCTCCTTTCATAACGTTTTTTTCGGTTCCTTTTTTTTTTTGGCTTTCTGGCTTGGCTCGGTTTGGGGCCAAATCAAATGTTTCAATCTTATCGCCGGGCCAACACCTTGGCTTTTGATTTATTGGTCTCTCCAGGTTTCCTGCTTTCACCTTACTCCCTATCTGGGCGGCTGCACTTCCAGCCGTTGAACATGTGTAATTAATTAAACAGTCTCCTCCATCGAGTTCATGTTTAAAGTCAACTATGAAAGTTTTCGCCAAGGAGTCGTTCAAGTCTTAAAGCAATTTGTGTGCGGCCAACAGCTTAGCTTGGTGTTTTGCTTTTTCTTCGGCCAAGATAAACGGAAAATTATGAGCCGAAAAGTTTGACTGTTATGGATTTTTATTGAACCAAAGGCTTTTGGCTTTCTTGTGGCGAAAGCAAACAACACCGCAGGCCCAGGACCACTGCCGAATTGTGTGTTAATTAAAATGTTAAGCTCCAGAGCCGAAGGCTTAAGCAAATTTATAAATTGAGCAATAGCCTGCAGCTGTCGCAGAAAGTTCTGGTTGTTGACATTTCGGGGAAAGGGTCAGGGCAATCAGGATGCGGAGGACCAGAGCTGCACATGTATCCAACATTGTTCTCGGAACTTTGACCAGCCACACACAGTGAAGTGAGTGAGATATAACCAACGCCCGAATTTCATTTGCTGACAAAACATGCTGGGCCAGCAAATGAGACTTGGGTCGTGGGGCTGCCAACACTTGCATGCATAAGTAAACAAATCCGCAAATCTCCCAACCGAGCTGAGCCGAATGTGGGACAATATCCTTGTGGCGAAAGTCAGAGATCTCGGCCTCCTTCTCGATGAATTGCTTGGCAAAGACATTGCAAAATCATTTGCCTGGCATTTGAGTGTGTGCCAAATGATTTGTAGCCCTCAACCTCAACCTCATGCCCCTACTCTCCTTGGGTTCCAAAAACAAAGAATGCATCTTTCAAATTCATAAAGCGGGGCCTCGCTCTACAAATTTTTAACTGAATGCGCACAAATGTTGTTCGGCAAACTCTGGCTGTGTGTTTGTGGGCTTACCCACAATTTTTTGGCAGAACTTGAAATGGATTCTGGTTTTCTATTTTATGGGTTAAGTGCTCGCTGGCAAAGCTCTTGTAAGCGCACATACCAATCCCCAATCCCAATCCCTATCCAAGTCTGAATCCACATCCACATCGTACACGAGCTCAAATCAATATAGATTTGCTTTCTGCCGTTCGAATGTGGTTGAAATAAAATTACATTTCAACGCTTTCCGAGTGTGTGCGTGTGACCAATATTTCATGTTTGAATTATGCGATTTTTATTGAAATTTCAAGCATCGTCTGCTGTCATGCGATGAGGTTGTTTTTGGGTGCCCAATTGCCGGTGCCCGAGCGCCCGGATGATCCTTCTGCTCCTTCCGCTCTTCCAGCCCATTGCATGTTTTTGCCGTCGCGATTGCAAGCCTGTTGAAAAATGAACAGAGAGGACGATGGAGACAGGGAGACAGGGGGCCGGACGACAGACTACGGAGGACCTAGGACAATGGACATGGAATACATGGACATTGGACAGTGTCGGGGCAAACAATGCAACATGTCACTTCTGCCTGTCCCAAAGGACTCTGGCGGGGACATTGTTGTCGCAGCTCTCTGATTTATTGGGGCAACATCAACGGTGTGAGTGAGTTTTGTCCTGGCCGCAGGTGAGTAAAGCTCAGGTGGTGGACTATTCGGTATACACTGAAAGAATTTTGATGCCTAAATAAGAGATTCTAACCTCAGTGAGCCATAGAGGCCTAGCTTTGTCTAGTATCCTACCAAAGTTTATACCAAAAATTTTCAAAAGCAACTACTACCCTTTCATCTCACTGTGCATCCACATGCTTTTAATTGCTACAGAGATTCAGAATTCCTGAATTTCGGGAATGAGTATCTGTCAGATGCACTTCCCACTCACCTGTGTGCGTTCGCTGGTGGGCCTTCAGGTGTGAGCTCTTCGTGTAGACTTTTTTGCAGCCCAGAAATTGGCACTTGTGTATCCGACGCTTGGCGTCCGGGCTGTGATCGCTGTGATGTTGGCGCGGGTGGTGCGATTTCGAGGAGCCTGCCGGAAAAAATAAGATTCCTAACTGGGTCAGACCTTGAATAGCTGGCTACATACCGTTGGAGGACTTGTCCGGCCTTGGGGAGAGCACTTGTTGCTGCTGTGTCGCTGAGCTGCTGCCGTTGGTGTTGCTGCTGCTGCTGCTGTTGGCCGCTGCGTTGAGGACTTCGGCCACGTTGGCGTTGCCGTTGTTCTGCATCTGGATGACGTGGGCCAGACTGATGCCCAACGATCTTGGCTTGCCGTTGGCCGTGGTCAGGCGGACGATGGTGCTGCGCGGAATGTTGCTGTGCTCGCTGGAGCTGCTGCTGCTGCTACTGCTGTTGCTGCTGCTGCTGCTCAGGCTGCTGTTGCTGCTGCTGAGGCTGCTGCTACTGCTGCTGCTGCTGAGACTGCTGCTGCTCTTGGGCGAGCTGCTGGGATTGGTGTTGGCATTGCTGTTGGGGTTCTGCCCCCCTGCCAAGGCCTGTGACGATATGCTCAAGTGCTGGACGGCCAGCTGCTGTTGCTGTTGCAACAGTTGCGTCATTGTGGGATTGCTCGAGTTGTTGTTGCTGGTGAAGCGCAGGATTGCTGTAGCGGGTGTGGGATTGCTCGGTTGCTGTTGTTGCTGTTGCTGTTGCTGCTGTTGTATCAGCGCCGCCAGGTCGCTGGCCTCCAGTTGCTGGGCATAATTGTGGCTGCGCAGGCTGGATTCCGGCGACGAGGGCGGCGTGAGCGTGGGCAGCACAAAGTCCTGGACATGCCCCAGATGCAGTCTGCTGGCCTGATGACTCTTGGCCTGGACCACTCGCACCTTGATGCCCGGCGCCGAGCTATTCCGCGAACTGACCGTAATGGTGCTGCCGCTGCCCAAGCTGCTCATGGGACTGGCGCTGATGTTGGTATTGCCGCTGGTATGGCTATTGCTGCTGCTGCTGCTGCTGGTGGGCGTCATATTGCCGGCACTGCCAATACTGGGATTCGGTGAAATCGCCGAGGGCGTCGCCGCCAGCAATACACTCAGCTTGTCATCACAACCCACGACATCGTCGTCCTCTTCGTCGATCCGTTCCTGCTTGACCAGAACAGAGCAACTAAGGGCCTGGGAGCCATTGCTGTCCCAGGATATGCCCGAGCAGTTGGAGGAGACCGAGGAGGTGGTCGAGATCGTGTCCAGGTGCTGCTCCTTGATCTTCAGCTCCTCGAGCAGGCGGGCGGGCGTCGAGAAGATGTCCCAGGCCGTGTCCAGGTTGCTGTGGATCTTCTTCTGCAGCTTGGGCTCATCGCGCAGATAACGTTCCAGCTCATAGCAGGTCTGCAATGGAGAATAGAGACAAGTCGGGGTGTTAGGAATTTGAAATAAAAGTTCATAAAAGTTGGTCCATTAGAGCTGGGAGCTAAGTGGATGCTGCGACCCAATTCAATTTGGCGGGAATTTTCGAGGACATTAAGCCGATAATTTAGGGACGCCTGGCCGCGGGCATAAACATAAACATAAATTTCAAATTATTATACTTTATGTCTGGCGCAATTACAGGTAATAATTTTCCATGCCGGAATTTATGGCCAGTCGCTTACTTTCGGCCGCTTAATGGAGGCGACAATTAAGTGGACATGGGGCTGCCGGGGCGCTAGTCCTCCGGCGGAAGGTCCTTTGATCTGCTGGGGCAATTCATTTTGCAACTCGTTGCCAGCCATGTGCACACGGCAAACAGCAAACTGCAAACATGCCCCGGGCCCATGTACCGCCCCTTTGATGCAACGATTTCAATATGTGTGTAAGGTTTTGGGGCATGGAGGCGAGCAGGCGGTTAGGCGGGGCGATGTGAGATGAATCCCGTCTGTCTGCCACTTAATCGACTCTTTAAGTCACCCACAAATCGAACACATGAACGGCAATTTGCCCGGCCATTTGTGTGGCGAGTAGTAGATCCTTTCTTGGCCAACAAATCTTATTAAGGGCGATGCAAAAGCACGTCAGCCAATGAACCGGAATAAGCAGCCGCCCCACCATGACAGAAAGGGTTAAAGGGTGCGCTGACCATTTTCCCGGATCAGCTTTATTTGCCACACCCATTGAAGGACTCACACATGACCCCCTTCGCGCCGCGTAAATCACTTTAAGTGTTATTTCAAGAAAATAATTGCAACACATAAATTTGCTCAACCCTTTTTGCCAGCCAGGCAAGTCGCACAAAGCAAAACAGGGAAAACTATAATGGTTTATGAATCGGGATAATGGCCAAAAGGGGTCTGGGTTTCGGGCTTAGACTTTCGGTTCTGGCCTCAACACGTTGCCAGGATGATTAATGGGCGGCTGCTGCATTTCCCTGCTGCTGGTGCTTTTCTTTTCACTTCACAGACAGGATGCAGGATGCAAGTAGGAGGTAGCACGACCGCCATACTGGTGTGTTTGCAATCTTTGCCCAGGAATCTAAATAAAATGTAACATGCGCGCAATTTGATATATTGTTTTTTTTTTTTCTTGCTCCGGGGAGTCGGCAAGGGAAGCAGCCCAGGGAAGTACTATCAAAAATGGCGTTTTGATTTATGCGCCGCCACTGCTCCAACGATGCTGCAAACAAATCACGTGAGCCAACAGGCCAAAGATTAGACGCGACTTTCAAATTGCCGGTGGCACCAACTCGAATCCCCCAGCAAGCTCAATAAACCTTACACTCTGCACACCTGATGGATGGTCGGCGGGTGAGCAGTTCAGGTCCTGGCCAATTTATAACAGAAATGGCTTCCATGGCTTCCCATTTGGTCAAAAAAAAAAATGCAGAGAACAACGAGCATAATTATCGGGCTAATTGTGATGCGTTATCTCACGCTTAGCAATTAGTGTAATGAGATATTGTTGTGGCAACCACTGGAATAGTTTTATTTAGTCCGCCTAAACTAAATGCTAGGATTTTAATTAATTTTAAAACCGCATGCTAGACACAGACCACTTCCGAAGCACTTGCCGACCAGGATTACTGTGTGGGAGAGTATTTCCACTCGATAATCAGCATAGTGGGATTTGTGGAGTTTTGGAAATAGTTTAGAGACTAATGTTGAATAATAAACATAATTTCCGGAAAACAACGTGTATGTACATAGTATATGTACGTATAATTATGGATATTGACGGGATGCCTACTTAAGCCCCCTGGATATATGGAAGCTTTTCGAGAGCCGAGAGCCAAAAATAAGAAGAACACTTAGCAGCAGATTGAAGAGGGCAAAAGTTGCCTCTTTGTTGTAATCAACATAATTATTGTTGCCACAAAGTTCTACGAGCTGAAGGAAAACATTTTTCTGTCACTGATGTGTGGACATGAGAGTGTGTAGGGTTGGTATGGGGGTATGGGGATAAAACTTTTCTTAGAAAAACTTTTTTGTTGCTCATTTGTGTTTAATAGAAATTTATTTGCCCGTCTCAGATGTGTGTGTGTGGGAGGTATGAATGTCTCTAAGTAGTAGAAGGTTCTTGCCCCAAAAAAAACCAACCAAATACGAGTGCGAGGGTGACAACAGAACACTTTTGCGCACTTTTTCCCAACAATTTATGTTGCCCCACTTTGGGGCACATAAAAATCTTCATTTCCGTGGCGTTTATTTGCCGTTTGCCTTATGTTTCGTTTTCTATTCCGGCTTTTCTCTTGTTTCTGATCTTAAATTGTGGTTCTCCATTTCCCATTTTTTGTGGCAGGGATTGTATTTTAGCTCCGAGTGAAGCTGCACTTAGGCAATGTGGTGACAGCTGCGGTTATTAAAACCTGCAAATTGTATTTATATCCCCCGGCAAAGTGGTACCAAGATTTTGACAAGCCTGCCTGCATCCCCACATACATACTTTGGCATAAATTTATCGGCTCACAGATTACCCAGAAACAGGAGAGATATTTCGGCTAACAAACAAATTATAGAAAGCAAGAGCCACCACAATGGCAACTGAAGCAGGGACTTAGGCAAAAAAAAAAAGGAGGAATAGAAAACGATATCCTTAAATTTTTGCAATTATCTAACCACAAATTGTTTGCCCAGTCTAGAGCATTTGAGTTCTCAAGAGGGAAATGGGGAGAGGACACTCCCATTGTGTGTGGCAGGAGCAAATAAAATTTTGAGCCAAACAGGATGAAATGAAATGTTTGCCCAAGGACCAAGCGATCCAGAACCAGGACTTTGGTGGCAAATTGAATTTGGCCACAGCAAATAGAGTCTGTCATTTTGCAGGATTGCTGGGTGTGTATGAGTTTGGATGGAGGTGCTATTTTTTCTTCTCCTATCCAAGAGAGTGGGTGTGTGTCGTCCTGGCACATATGCTAATGTAAAATAAAAGCATGCGATTAAATTTAATTATCTAGCATGTTTATTAAAGTCTACAAATGCGATATGACAAGAGAAATGGAATGGAGCAAGGAATATCGCACAATTGGGAGAGATTTGGAGTATTTGCAGGGATAACACACACACACACACATACAGACAAATGGAGATATCCCTGCGGGATGCCACGCCTCCATTTTCGGGAAGTGTGGGGGTGGGCGGAACATATTTAATTATGTGTGTAATTGAAAAAGACGCAACGGCAGTTAAGAAACCCAGGCCGAAAGAAAAATCAAGCCGAGACTATTATGCGGCACATGTCTGCGAAGAGTCCTGGATGTCCCGCTGCGATTTTCATGCGTGCTTCAGAAAGTGTCAGTGTGTTAGAGTGTATCCTTGGTGCGTGTCTGTGTATTAGAAAGACATTAGCAGACGCCAGCGGGCGGCAATCGCCCTGCGGTTACAAACACTGACAGAAGCTGGAGAATCCGGGACCTCCAAGGACCAAGCAACAAGGAACAAGGACCAAGACACAAGGAGCATCTGTCGCTGCCGAAAAGCAAGCTACACAAATACAATTTCGGCATTCTCTCCTCTCCGCCGCCTGCATTATGTCATTTAATGAGCCATAATTCCACAGGGATGGGGCACGACTGGAGGCAGTGGAGGTGGAGGACAGAGCCTTAAGCTCCCACCCCCGGGGGAAATATTCTACCAACATTTTTCCGTTTCCCATTTGTGTCTTGCTGGATGCTTTCATTTTGAAAGTTTTAATGAACGAAACGTAATGAAATTATGCCGACAATTAATGCCGCCCGAAGTGGAAAAGAAACGAAGGCACAAGGACTTGAAGCCAAAATAACTTTAACTCCAGGCGTTGAAATATAATTGTAAATAATTTAAGGACAAAGCTGAATATTTAAAGTGAAAGGTATATGTATGTATATCCCTTCCATATTTATTTTCATGGACACACATGCCTGCCTGGAGATTACACACAGATTGATACGTTTCGTGTGTCGTTCGGATTGCAACTATTGTTTTCAATTTACGTCCTGCTGTGTGCAACAACGTCCTTTGGCTCCTTTGGATGCTTTGGCAGCTTTGGCTGCTCCTTGTTATCTGGCTGTCAGCTAAGTGACTTCTTAATACGAAGGGAAAGGGTGAGTGTGCGAGTAGAAAGTGGCTGCAATCTCGAAGCAACAATATCAGCCAGTCACTAGTCACTCGATTTGGCAATAACAATAAGCCAACCAAGCACAGGAGGCAGGCGACGGTGACGGTGACGGTGACAGGCGACAAAGGACAAGCGCAGCAGGATAATTGAATTATTGGCATTATCACTGCATTTGCACTTACACCCAAACACGCCTCAACATCGCCTCAACTCCTCCTTCGTCCTTCGTCCTTCGTCCTCATTGCCCATTCAGTTACATTACAAAGTGTAATGCGTTGATTTACTTGACCTGGCCCGCACTTGGTGTTGCAGTTGCAGTTCGAGTTGTTTGTCTGTTCATTCGTTTGTTTGTTTGTTTGCGTTCGGGTTGGAAAGTGCACTTAAGCAACTGAGCTGGGGACTTGGGAGTCGGGTGGCGGGAAAAGCATTGCATAATTCCAGGCATTATGCTAATTTCGGAAAGAAACTTACCAACTACTACTACGCTTCTTCGCACCCAAGTAGTTCTTGGGTTCGGCTCCTCCTTGAGAAAGGAAGCAGATCACTTTCGCCCCGGACAAAGTGAAGCGGAATTTGCTGCTTTTAAGGCAATCGAAAGACACTCTCGTCGAAAGCGTAGCCCGGAAAAGTGTCTCCCCGGAAAAGTGGGGCTGCCAGAACAAAAAAAAAAAAATAGTAGTAGCAAGTGGCAGTAGCAAGTTTCGGGGCCCCGGACAAAAGGACGATGAGCGGGGCAACTAATGCGTTGTACGCGCCGCTGAATTTAAATGAGGAATTAATGCGTACATTATTTCCAACCCTCCACCACTGGCATCCGCATCCAC